CTTTTGATAGTATAACACTGTAAAATTGACGCCGTGTTGGGACATTATTGGAATTGCCAGTTCGTAAATACGAAGGTGCTATTTGTTGATATGGTACTTCACGATAAAGTTCAGCACTTAAGATATTCCAATATTCTAAACATATTTTAAATATTTCAACTTCTTCAACTTCTGATGTTAAGACAAGATATTGTAATGCTTCAAGTAATGTTTCTTTTAAATCTGGAGTACGTTCAATTAAAATGCCATGTTCTTTTAAAAAATTCGATAGAAATAATGCTAAGTTTTGAATAAATTTTTGATCATCATCTTTTGCTGAACGATAGGCAGCTTTTAAATCAATTGATAATGGCATTATCTATTTTAACAGAAACTAAATAGTAATAATGAAAGAAATTTGATTTTTACTGTTTTAAGTTGAAGCATTGTTCGACGAAAAAAGTCAACGAATTTATCTTCATATTGTGCAACTTGAATACTAGCTACAAGAATATAGAATTGTATTGAATAAAATGTCGCTAAGTGTATAAAACAATGTTTTCATAGAATGCTCCGAAATATTTTGTTCGAACAAAAAGTTCTCCGTGTCGAGTCGATTAGCGTAGACATTTTTATGCGTTTTCATCCCTAATCTTATCGTATTATGTGACGAAGGATAAAAGAAATGATATAAAATACTGAGCGTACGTGATGTGAGCGATGTAAATGTAGAATTAAAGAAAACTGCCTTAGGTTGAAGCAGATTAATCATTCATTCTTTCTTTCTAATCATTTCTTTGGACAGAACAGTATTGATACTACTTGAACAATCAATATAGAGAATGCTATCGGCTAAATGTATCATCGAATCGTACAGTATCATTCAAAATGACTAAAGTTTTATGACGATCGACAACAGATAGTGCATCTGTTTTCGTAAGGTTCGAAACTATAGACTAGAACTGGCCTATTTATTGATGATATCTTCTATGAAGTTTTTCTTTTTTTTGGAAACTCCAATAAACATATTTACAAACATACCAATTTCAGTTAGGCAACGAAGCGTGACATTGCGAAACATTGGTACAGTAAAAAATGTTTCGATCAATGTATTAACCATATTTGTTTCAAATATATAACCAAGTGGGATCCAACTAAGAAAACGTAGTAATGTTTCTAGTGTAACCAAAAGTAATGGTGGATGACGAGATTTATCCTATTAAAAAATGATTTAGTGTTGATTCTAGCTTTCATATCACAAGCATTATTTACCACAACGTATTCGCAAAGTTGAAAAATTTTTGTAAATTCACTGCACATGGTATCTTTTAAATGTTTAGCTTTAGCTTGTGTCATTTGACCGGATGAAAAATCAAAGACTTCTTCACTGTAAATAAAATCAAAATCATTTATTAGAATTTCACATCATACCAAAAGATGTCTATTGAAAAACCTGAGTAGTTTTAAAATATCTAAATTGTTTTGACACATCGATTCACTTGTTTTACTTGCTTCAACGATGTCGCTAATGAAATTTGGCCACTTCTTGGGCCATTCATGTTTTAATATCTAAATAGATGTCATTTAGTTTGACAGTTAAAATAAACAATAATTTCAAATTTACTTGTACGAGAATAATATTCAATTTATTTAAATAAACCTTTTCACGTTCCATTAATTCGGGATTTTGTGAATGTGATATTACTAAACTCACAATATATTGTTTAATAGCTAAAATTTTGAAAGATGATGCTTTTTATTTTGCATGAAAAAACCGACAAAAATCCCAAACCTTCACATTGTTCTTTTGGTAAAGCTTTCCAGCGAGTTTTAATTGTTTTTTCAAGAATTTGTAAAGCAAAATATTTTGTTTCTTGACATTTTGAATATTCTAATATGCTGTCAACCTTAGTCCACGCATCCGGATGATCACGTAATACGTTTAATACTTCACTTGCTTGTCGTTGCTGAATTGAATTAAAATTAAAAGCAAGGATTACAACGAACTAATTCAAATAGAGCTTACGGAATCGCCCTGTCCTCGATACATTGTGTTGACGACGGCATCGAGAACATTAACATCAAATGGTGATTGACCATCAAAATTTAACAACGTTTGTGCTTGTTCAAGTAATTGCATGTTTAGAAAGTAAAGTTAGTCACGTGTCAAATGTCGTTTAAAGAAAAGAGAAAGTGATGTCCTAATCTTGGTCTCGTTGTTTATCAGAAACCGTCCAGAGTCAAGAAGTAGAAGTCCAAAGTCAGAAGTAGGAAATGTCTTTTGTCGGAAAATGCTCAACTACATATCTAGAAAAAGAGAAAGACAGAAAAAATTTTAAATAAACCAACCTAAATATTCGTTTTCAGATGGCACTAATAATTTTCGTCGAATGATTTCGTATTTAATGCTATTATTTCATAACATCAAGATCGAATGAGAAATAAGTCAATGACGGAATAATAAGTAAATATTACCTTCATATATTTACTATTTATGAACTCATAAATTATCCAATCATAAGTAACGTGATGTATCCAACATTTACCAAATATTCCAGTATCTTTTTATTGCAGAGAGTAAAAAGTCTATTGATTCAGTATGTAGTTTTATTTCGTGTTTATCAACTTCTTAAAAATGTATGTTGAGTCTTATTATTCATTGATTCAATTAGTGACGTTACTAGGGTGGATCCAGATGATGCTGAGCCCCGTCGCCGGATTTTGAGTCCCACCATCCTTATTTTACTCTATCTATTGAATTCTTGAATTAAATAAATGAATATCATTTAGACCATCGAAGTCTGAATTTTGAATCGATGAGAGTGTAAATATTTTCTCCATTGATAGTAATAGGATACCATCTGTTCATTTCTGTAACTATTAGATATTGAAAGCAGTAATCATCATTTTATGTTGTCCGTTATGAATCACAACGTGTGAATCACAAATCCTGAGGAAAGCTAGCGATAAATTCCAATATGTCATAAAGAGATAAATAAAAAAATATGCAACCTTGTTATAATGCTTATGGCCTAAACTCGGTCAACGAGTACATTGGCGGAAGAGATGGGACTGAGTCCCATCACGTCTAAATGCCTGACGACGCCACTACATTCGATTGATCTTATCGTACAAATATAAAGAACCAATGAAAACAGCTATAATTGAATTTGAGAAAAATTGCTCTCCGCTAGCGAAAATTGTCGAGATAAAGTATCTTCATCTTTTTTTCTGCCAAGATCTGAAATGAAGTTAACAATAAATTGTTGCAGATGGAGTATCTCATCCATGAATAAGTAAAAATAAATGAAATACTGTAAAAATCTTGATACAAAAATCTCCTTCTCAGAGCGTGTGTTTATTCTCTGAGCATGTAATCGATCATTTTTATTCGTATTGCTGTAAATATTTTGTAACTGAATATGATTACACTTAGCCGTGCATTCCTGAGTATTGCTAATTAGGCGAAAATTTCAACAAAAGTTTAAAAATCTAAGAACTGAATCAAATAGAGGAAAACACAAAACGAATATGATTGTTCACGATATTTGATCGCAGGTTATCGAGCAAATTCACGCGATTGGCCGTATTTTTAAACATCACTTTCACGATTTATTTGCTGTTTTCCATGATGATTGCCCTTTAAAAATATCAAAATAATACTCGAACATTCTGTATTGACTCAAGTTAAAGTTTACCGATGTAATACTAGTGCTAGCTTCCATACGAAGTCTCATATTATCGAGTCTGCAAATACAAAGTACAAAGAAATCTTTTTAGAAACCAAAACAATATATCAATCTTACTTTCGTTCAATATTGTGCATTGTGGTTTCTGTTTGATCGTCCTCGCCAGATTTCAATATACTACGCCAATAGTCACTGGCTATAGCACTTTCGCGTTGCATGGCATCGGTAACTATAGAAAGCAATTCATAGGAATATGGAATTGAAAATAATTGTATTTTTTTATTACCTTTAAATTGCGATTGAATTAGTTTGTCGATCGTCTTTATATCATTTAAAAGTGTTTCGGTAGTGCCTGTAAAAGTATCGAATAGATAAGATCGAATAATATAGCAAAAGTTTCGTACTGGATCGACGTTGCTGATGATGCGATTGTATGCGTTTCACAGCACATCGAATCGCCAGAAAGATGTAATATACAATGTTGAACGGAGGTGGTAACGGTGTTTTCGTGCTATATTCATCGACAATAACAAAACGTTGACAGCGCCATATATCATGAGATTTTTCTTCAACATTCTGAATAGTTACACTATATATAAATAAATCTCTCACGATATCGAAATCAAAGACAATCGACTGTCTTACTTGAAGAGTGCAATGAGTACATTGAGAAGGAGTACATTGGAAATGGCAACAAAAATAATAGTCAAAATAAAAGCCGTATTCGAATATGAATCATTGCCCACTGTAAATAAAGCAAAGAAAAGTTTTTGATCTAGTGATTCTTTCTCCCAGAACTTCTCATTGTTCCCAGTTTATCTTTTAATACTAAGAAACAGAAATGATAATCAATGTATACATTAGACAGTTTTCAAAATCAAGAATATACGAAATATAAGTAATTTTAATCATCAAAGCAACATACTTGAAATATGTTCGCCGTGTAATCTTTTTATTTTGATCTCCTATACTTTTTTTTAGTGCTTTTGAAATTGATTTTAGTCTAGACACAAGACAATAGTGCTTACCAATCGGATCGATTTGTGCAAAAACTTTCCGAACACCATAATCTGTGATATCTTTTAATAATTTCCATGACCATGTGTGATTTCCCGTTATAGTTACAGAAGCATTGAGTAGTTTCCCGCTAGGGCTATATTCCCAGTGTACTTCAGAAACACTATTAATTAATGACCAGGATGTGACCGAAAAGGCAAACAAGAAAATGATAATGAAGCATAGAAAAAAGAGAAGATCTCGCATCTATATAGACGAAAAAGTGTATGTTTAATGGATTCAACAAAATGAAAAGAAAAAAAAAAACTAACCGTATTCAAAATCATCACTAGTTTAGGTCCAAGTCGCTCGAAAGCAGTAAATATACGAAGAGTTGCCAGAAACCAAATTATTAGATCAAGACATAACAGAATTCTACGAGAACATCAACGAGAACGAATATGATGGCAAATAAACATTTAATAAAAGTTTGAAAACTTACTTGGACATAGCGAAGAAGCCTTCGCGGACAATAAATCGTGTCACTAATCCCAAAATATACACAACAATAGCTGTAAGATCGATCCAGTTCCATACTGTAGCAAAATAGTCAGAAGCATCCATAAGTATAAACTAAAAGTCAAGAGTATATGTGTCGATGTTATTGAGAGTCATCATCTTACTTGACGTAGTTCTTCGACTATCAAACTCCATAAACATATGTGCAGAAGAATTTCTGAGATTGGCAGTGGCAAATTTTTTATGTTCGAACGACTTTCACCATAAATATTTAGTGGAAAATAATCAAAAAGAATAACATAGCTAAAGAGACTCAGGAAGAGAGCGAAAAATATCTGTAAATGAAGAGTTTAATAGAAAATTCTATATGAACAGGCCATGCTATTTCGTTCACTTACGATATTGTAATAAAAACGGACAATGGGTGCTCGGTAGAAGTATGAGATTCTTTTAGACCATGGAATAGAACCACCAACTGGATCATTATCAGATCTTTAAAAAAAGAGACAAGAATAGAATTTCAGTTATGTACTGTCTTCTTACACGATAACTGTACGGACCATCGCAGGATTTCTATACTTTGATTGATTTTTGTTACTTCGTACGATCTTTCAAATACAACCATAAAGATTCAAGAAATATTATAGATAACAGTGCACGTAGCTAACCTCTCTGTGTTCATGTACGTAAGGTAGAAAGACAGCGAATATTGGTATTAATGGAAAAATAATTGAACAAAGGAAAACCTAGATGATGAGAAATAAATCGATTTATGCAATAGAAAGAGATAAGCAGGATTTACTCGAAAATAGATGGCTTGCCGTTTATAATTAATATTGCCGAACCTTAATGATAGACATCTTTCTAATTAATTCATTGAAATAATGATAAGAAAATATTTACCACTTATGATCGAGATACTTTTGAACACAGTCTGATGCAAGAAACGATTGACATTCGGCACGTTGAGCTACGCTAAGCAATTGAAGATTGCTGAATGCAACAGCTGGCTGTTTCAAAATATTAACACCAAAAAAGACATCGTTAGCAAAACATTGATCAATAATCGACTTTGCAAATACGTCAAACTGACTGGAAAAGAAAATTCATACACGATGTTCACTATGAAAACTGAAAGAATCGTAGACACAAGTTAGATTTTACCTAGCCATTTTTATATAATGCTCTTTTGCCTGAGCATGAACTGCCATGGTTGCTGCTAACGTATAAATATATGCAGCAATTAAAGGAGCCATTGTTTGATTCTGATAGCGAAACAAATGTGACGATTTTAAAAATAAATACAGCAATCAATGATTACCCATGTCTTTGAGCAAAGATATTTCGCGAGATCAAAACGATCATGAAATACTGCCCACAGGAAAAGTTCACGAATTGAATTTTTCCCCAATGGTAAACTCCCATCTAATGTTAGATCAGTCTATTCACAGATTAAAGAAATAGAATCAATTCTAGACATGTATATGTGAAATTTTAGATGCAAGTATACATACACAATTCGCAAATTCACTTGTAATGTAGCTTACATAATAATCATTTCGTGTAGGTAATACTTCTTCAAAGTCACTTGTGATTGGTAAACCATGATCTGCCTGTGAGATTGCAAGAAGAAGAAAAAAATACGTTTGATGTAATGAATATTTATAAAAATTATTGTGAATAAAAACACTCATATACCATCGCATAGAGTTGTTCAATATTATGACCGGTTAAGTTTCCGACTGGAGTTCCATAATCAATCAGTAATTCAACAAAATCAACGCGATCTCGACGAACAGCATCGAGTAGAGCCTCACAAAGATCGGATTCCTAATATATCAATAGAATCATGTGAGCATAAATGAAATTATTATAGAAAGAAAAGTTGAGTTTACCGTCCATTTGGTGATCGTGTTAGCAGTGAGAACATGCTTTTGTGCATAGTCCAACTTATTCCACGCCTAATGAGATAGAGAGATTACTAGTAGCATGAAGTTTTGTTCTTAGAATACAAAAGAAAACTATAATGTATCTATACCGAAGCCAATTTCAGTTCGGCCACACGAGTTTTTTGTTCATCAGAATCGTTTCCAGATAACTTAGCAGCTAATGAAATTGATTTTATTGATATCTTGAAGAATTTCATGAAAATAACTTACCATTGAACAAGGCTTCGAGAATAGAATCTTCTAAATTGCCATGATGCTTTTCACTGTTGAATTGAAAAATAGTCACCATGTTTTTCCGACTGCGTAATATTCTGCACAGGTCATCTTTTATGTCAGCGACCCATGGATTATTGTCTACTCGAGCTTTTTCGAGTCTATACGAGAGAAAATGAATAACTCTCCATTCAATGAATATTTCTTACATCGATTCAAGCTCGTCGTCTCTAGTATCAATTGTCTGATCATTTTGCTTATTGCTCAAACCTGTTTCAACTCGTTGTTCATGATCATCGAGTCGACAAAAGTAGTCATACAAGTCAGCTACAAGATCAGCTGCTCTACCAGATTCCTATGGAAATATCGAAATGAAAAGTGTTTCCTTTGCTGATAGCTAGTAGCTACTCTAATGACCACCAACGGAGTACTTGATTCAAGTGCTTGACAAATAGTTCGTACTGAGAATGGGCCACCTTCGACAAGAACCATAACAATAGGTGTGAGAATATCTGTTGGTGTATTTGGTACATGTATAAATCGTGCATACTTTTCCATAGCTGCTCGTTGGGAAAGCATATTATTGGTCGAGGTAGATCCATCGTCAAATAACAAAAAATGCGTGTGATTTGGCTCTAAATCACGCTGGTATTGTTCGCGTTGTTTGGTCACATAAGAGCGAATAAAATATTCATCAGGTTCATCCTATACATGAGATAGAACATATTGTTCGAAAAAAAACTTAATCTTACCATCTGATTAGCTTCATTTCGATATCGCGCGTGATATCTCGATGACTTCGCTATGGCATTCAAAGGATTACTGAGATCCGCCATTTTTGGTGTTTCTGGACGAATAAGTTGTTCGCAGCCAGCTGTATATTTCCACGAGCCAATGCCAATGCAAGATATATCGAGTCCATACTTTTGATGTGTATACCGGTATTTGTTAATTGCTTCGCCTACTTCTTTCACTACACCAGTATTGACTCCAGTTGTTATCACCCATGCATCTATCAAGTAAAACATGTATGTAGGTTCATAAGCTATACTTAACGGGAATAAGTCACAAATAAAAGCTACTGAAAATGTTGCATGATTCATGAACCAGGAATACGAAGAATTTCTAGTATTTCTATGAGTTTTCTGGCGGTAGATGGATAAGAGTGGTAAAAATAGACTTTCTTCATCAATATAAACTACGTTTTTATTTAAGTGAAAATTAGTCTCAATCAAGAGGGAAAAGCGCGACTTCCGTACTTTCGTACCTCACGTGCTTCCATGTACTTACATCGTACTTCGAAGTACGGAAGTCGCGCTTTCCCCCTTGGTCTCGATCGAGTATTTGTCTTACTCGTAGTGGCAGCAGCAATAACTAAACCCTGTTGAAATGCTTGCCGAAGATGAGGAGACATATGAAATTGTTGTCCACCACCAATGACTGAAATAATCAAATCAGGATTAGGCAAATGCCATCCTTCTTCCATGAATTTGACCACTGTTGCAGCGTCGGTATCAAGTGCCATACGAATGTATTGTGAAAGACGAGTATTCGAACCGATCGGATCTTCGTCGAATTTCAGAAAACCGTATTCTCGCGTGAGTACCCTAGCAAACAGAGATAATGAAGTAGAGTGAATAATATGTCTGATGATTTTTATTTAGGTTTATTGACGACACGATCTCTTCAAACTTCCTATGTGGCAAATGAAAAGCGTACGAAACAAAAACTCGAAGAGATTTTAGAGATCGCAATAAAAACTATCAATGAAAGAAAAACAAGGCAAAGTGTCTTGAAGAATTCAATTGCTTGAATCTTTAGGCTTGTATATAAAGGTTGTTATAATCATAGAAAAGCAATAAATATTACTGGTATTGATCCTAGCTTTTACTTTTCTATTTCTTTTATAAAAGAGAACGCATTCATTCATTCAATAATTTCTTTGCTGGTACCGTCTAAATCAAACTAATTTTACCACGTTGTTAAGATTAACAAGAATATTGAGTTCATTGGGACTAATTAGTTTCGTTTTGATAGGACAAATTAATAAAAAAACAAGAAAATAAGCCATAGATTTAATGTATTTAACTTTGGAAAAAAAACTTTTTCATCTGTTCTCTTTCCTTCTGTTTATTAATATATTTTCTTTTACTTTGCCGTTAAGATATTCGTGTACGTAGTGTTATTTACTCAGTTGAGATTTTCACCAGCGTGAACTAACAAACGTTATTATTATATAAATATGATATGACGTAAAAAAGTTTGCATTATTTATATTGCTTCTTGTTTGCATGTTTATCTGCTCTATTTTTTACTATGATCATTCAAGTATGCTCTAATGCTACATTTACTCGCATAATTTTTAAAACTCAGCATGTTCTCATATAAATATAGTAAAACAGTAGAGAGCTAGTTAAGAATTCGAATTACTATGAAGTAACTGAAAGATTATTTTATTTTAAAATTCTATTCGTATTTACGATTTATCATCAGATTCGTAAATGTTCAATTGACCAATTATCTAAAACAAAAATAGTAGTTGTCAATGCAACTGGCTGTTTTTGTTGAAAATACCTCCTGTAAATTACGCATGTGTTGAGCTAGTTCGCTGGGCATCTTATTTGTTTGTTTGGGCACTTGATAAATTGTTAGGAATAGAATTATTGTTGGTTGAATAAAATTTGAAGCTTTCTATCTGTTGTCGGCACTTTTAAATAGTGAAGAACACAGTGTTAACTGTCGAATTATTTGCCTTCTTCTAGATCGAAGAATATTTTTCTTTGTCACTACCGATGCAGACCATGGAAGAGTGGAATATTAAAAAGAAAAGAAAAACTGGCTATGTCGGTCGTTATGGAGGAAAAAAAGAGAAAAATCTCTCTTTTAACCCTTACGCTTCTCTTTTACGGAGAAATGTGGTTTATACTTCCATGTATAAACACTCAGCTGCTTCCCCGCGTTCTTCATTGAAAAAAAAATGGTCTTTTACAACTATTAATAACTAACGAACAAATCATCTCAAATATTTGCTGCCAGTTTCAAAAATTGTTTTGCTTGCATATGGCATTCAGTATTCGAATTGGAATCGTGAAAAAAATTAGGTGAAAATTGATTCGAAACTAATATTTAGCTTACAACTAAAAGTTTAAATAGAAGTTTTGAAAATCGATATTCAAAAGAATTTGCAATAGTTTATAGTCAAACATCGATAGAAGTCAAAATCGTTTTACAGTTTTTATTACAATACCATAAAGCATACGTAGAAAACAAATATCGTGCAATTTTTGATGAATCCATCTTAAAATGATTCATAAAGCGAAAGATATTGCAACAATTTACACTCATGATTAAATATGAAATATTTTCTAATAAACTTTTTCAAAGTGATTTCCATAGGAGTAACAATTGAAATACAATGTATTCCTTTTTATGGAGTTAAAATTAACTTGTTTTACATTTATCATTATCAGTCATACGGTTAAACATTCAAGTGAGTCGCATTGTCTGTGATAAGAAATTCGAGTTCTTATCATAAACGACGAAGCAAATATTTTTATTTTAACAACACAATGCAACATTTGGGGATGCGTTGAAACAGTAAAAATGAAATTCACAACTGCATATATCAATAATCGGTCACACTAGAATAAGTAAAACAAAGTTTGTTTTTGCGAGCAGCTACCAAGAGAATTTTCCCATAAGTCTGCAAATAATTTGAGATAAATCTCGTCCAATCGTTAGTACACCAATCGATACCTGCTAGCTTCTCTGTTTCTTCTCAATTGAATCAATTTTGCATCTATTTCATTTTTTATTTTATTGTTGTTTTACTCGACTTATTTCGCGTTACAAATTTTGTTTGAAGATAATAATAGATTTATGCCGCCGTTTCTATCTGTTCTGTTCATATGCGTTGGCCTATGTGGAGTACTCATTCATGGATGGGGTCCTGTGGGTCATAGTTTAGTCGTTCGTCTAGCAGAAACTCAGTTAAATAGTTCTGAATTCGATTGGCTACGTTCATTGGTGCCCTGGTTTCTTAATGGCAATTTAAGTTCTATGGCTTCATGGCCAGACGTTATTGTTAATCCTAATACAAATCCTATCGGCTATCAAAATTGGATATGGACTAAAGAATTACATTATATTCATATACCCGATTGGAATTGTACATATTTACCTGAAAGGGATTGCCAACAAGATCGATGTGCTGAAGGTGCAATAAACAATTATACAAAACGTGTTGTTGCTCCATTGAGTGGACTCATTGATGAGACACAACGACAAGAGGCTTTATACTTTATTCTTCATTTTGTTGGAGATATTCATCAACCGTTACATGCTGGCTTTACTAGTGACAAAGGTGCTACTTTGGTTAAAGGTACATATTTTTCATGGTTAATCGATTTGAATGTTTCTATAATACGATAGTAGCGGCCTACCATATATTAAAAATACTTCTAATGATTGACTTATTGATGCTTTACATTGAATAGCAAGTCGAGTTAATGGTCGCAGTTTTATAGTATAGCTAGTACAAGGTAGCGAATAATGGCACTGCCAATGTTTTAATCTTATTTCTAATATCGTCACCCACACATGTATAAAGAAAATAAAAAAACATGTTATTTACCAATGAAGAAACCGTTAAACCATCTAGCAACAAATTGGAACATATCTTCTTTTGTAGAGTGTAGCTAATGAACAGAATAAAATAAAATGAATTTCCCGTGGCGTCAGATTCTAAGAGTAATTTTGCTACACTACTCTGTGCAAACCATGAAATGTTAAATGTTCGAGACGACTATACGATTTCAATTTAATTACGTGTACAGCAAAAGTGTTAGCTTTTCAAATTTTTGTCTCGAGTGGATGGTGCACAAAAAAGAAGAAGTTTGTCCTTTTCAAGTATTTACAGTCAAGCATTGTATTGAATATGATACTACATAAAGTCGCTGACTCGAGTGAGCGAAAAAATTTAACCAATATTTTCCCACAATACTTTACACCGAACAATAGTATTAGTTCAGATTACTGTTTTTAATCTTTAGGCTATTTCATGAATGAAACCGAACAAACTGATCTTCATTGGTTATGGGACAATGACATGTTAATGTATCGTTTACATCATCATTTTTCATCGGATGTTGACAAATATTTTAGTTATCTCTATTCGCTAATGATGAATCTACCATCTACAAACGAAATTAATAGTGACACAGATTACAAAGTGTGGATTAAGGAAGATACTGAAATTGTCTGTTCACAGATCTATCTCGATGATAACAATCAAACGTTTACTACGTCGTTCAATTTGGGTGAACCTTATTTTGAACGAAATTATGCAGTGGTCGATAAGCGAGTCGCTCAAGCGGGTCGTCGTCTTGGTATACTTCTCAAAAGTTTGAAACCTGAAACTCCTTACTCATCATGTAATACAGTTCGTTCGAGTGGACTTGTTATCATTATTATGCTCAGTATTGTGAACTATTGTCATTCATATAAAAACTGAAAAGAATTTCAATTTTTCTATGCTTCTGTATTTATCAATTATTGCAGTTTGAATTTCATCGGATTCTGATGCAACCTGACGAGATACTACTGCAAGGATTTATTGATCGTGAATGTGATATTCAACTACACTTATATAAAATGAATTAATATAATGTAGAGAAAGAAAAGTAAAGCACCGAAAAATTTATTGAATATTTATCTGAATATAAAAATTGAATTTCATATCGTATGAATTATTAGATGTCAATCTGAATGAGACATATTTATGCCAACTTGAAAACCATCAAACTATTTAGTGATATAAAATACTCCCTAGTCGAACTTTTTTATTCATGTGCTTGCAAGACTTAAGCTCAAGATGTGTCCATAGCGTATGACTTTCTTGCCCAAGACAAGCGCTTCAATGTTTGCATGAGTTACAAAAAAAAATGCAACTATAATTTTTTATTAAAAGTTGAGTTATTGTGAATGTAAAGTTGAAAAAAAGTTGAAAAAATTCTTTAATAACAGAAATGCTTAGATAAAAATTCAAGCGCATGAACAAGAAGTTTAAGAACTTGAGCTCACCGAAAGGGTTCATGTCTTGCGTCAAGATGTGTCCATAGTTCTTGACTTCCTTGATCAAAAAAGTCAAGAATTGCATGCGCTTGCAAAAAAAAGTTCGACTAGGGTAACAACAGTGCAAAAATTGATAATGAACTAATCTAGTAGATGCCACTAGATATAGATATTTTATGTTCTTAATGTAGAATTGCGAGAATATAAGTAGTTGATAAAAATATTAGTAGTAATTGAATTCATTTGTTAATCAACATAATGAAAATACGTCTTCGTAGATTCAGACTCCAAAAACTTAAACTTTCGAACACAAAAATCTCTAGAAGTGAGTCACCCAAAACAAAATTTTATAATCTTATGGCCTTTTTATTAGACATTTTGACTAAGCTATAATATATTTGATATAAACATTCAGTTTTTTTTCTGTGTGAAAGTTCCTATCATTGCCATATGCATAGGAACATCTATCTATCAGATGATATTGATGGTGGAGAACATTGTTATAGGAAGTAGAGACAAAATCGCGTTTTAGATTGAAGTTTTGATTTATTTATAGAAATTTGTCGAGAACAAAAGAATCTGGCAATGATGAATCACAATAAAAATATCTGACTATGGTGAAAAAAGTTAAGAGTTGATGAAAGACAATAAAATATCTGATCAAGATGTAGAACAACAATTAGATGTCTCATCATAATACAATACGAAAAAAACCTTGAATGAGACTACACACCTAGTGAACTGCCACCATGATGAATCATAGAAAACAAAATCTTAGGAATATGAAGACAGATAGAAAAATAAATCAAGAGATAATGAAAGACCTAAATAGTATAATCAAAATCCATGAGAACAAATAGACGTTCACCAAAATCCAAAAATATCTGACAACAATGAAACACAAGAAGATGATGGAAAAGAAAAAACACGTTTTGGTGAAGAAATATCAGACTAATTGTCATTTCTCGCATTTAACGATGTTTAACAAATTTTCCATTATAGAGTAATATTCTTCGTCTGGCATAGTGCCTGCAACCCATTGCAAATTTAGTTCTTTTATTTGAGATATGACTGGAACATTTGCATTCTTTAAAGAAAAGCAAAGAAAAATAAAATATGATGATTTATTGAGAAGAAAATATGTATTGAAAAAATGTTTACCAAAGATTCAAATGAAATCACATCGTTATTCGATATCGAATTTTACGCAATAACGGATGTGCTAGTCGTGAATGTGGATGTGAGGACATCGATAATGTCGACTAGGGACGTACCACACCTTCAAAATAACTATGTGAGTTAGGAAGCAGGTCGTTTTCGTGATACAGCTCACATCAACACACACAAATTAGCATTTTCCATCGAATAACAGTACGAAATGTTTTTTTTATATATATTTAATATTAGAATCAATAATGAATGGAAAAAAGATCACATCATCGAGAATATCATGGTGTAGTGATAAGTAACAAATGTTTTTATTTGTCTTATAAACTTGGAGCCAGTTTATCAATGAACATTTGCGTAGCTTAGCAACCATTGATCATCATACGTTTAACAAATTTGTTCAGTACAAATAGTTACAATTCTTTCAAGTGTTCGAGCTGAACAGAAGGTGTCTTCTTACGCAACTGGAGGGTGTGGATGTAGATCTTCTCTCCAACGAGACCTACATCCACACCCAAAATAAAGAAAGAATAAAATCATTATTATTAGATAATGAACGAGTATCTTTTTCTGTTGTTGACATAATACCTTGTTCTTTTTGTTCTTTTTTCAAATTCGAAATTAACATGTAAAAACAAAGAGTTAAATAAATATGTTTCAATCACTAAATTAGATGATTATACCTTACTTTCCTTTTCATAATAACGATCGAAAGGAACGTCCGAAGGTCAGACTGCAGTCAAATGTTGATAATTTATTAGGATAGAATTTCTTTTTAGAAAATATTTTCAAGCCAGTAAAATTATAACAAAAAAGCTTAAACTATTGGGAAATAATAGAATACTTTTCAATTTTCTTTCATAGATCTCATTCGACTTATCTTATAAGCAAAAAAATTATTAAATGTAAATAAAATTTATTATTTTCCATCAGTGAATAAGTTCTCTTTCTTTTAGTAAACAATATTCCATATGACGTAACCGAAAGAAAGAAACATAACGAATATAATGGGAAAAAAGAAACATGAACATAATGAGACAATAGAAAGAAAAAGAAACATGAACATAATGAGACAATAGAAAGAAAAAGAAACATAAGCGTAATGAAAATACAATAAAAGCTTGTCATTAACTTAAGTTCATAATATAGCATGTTTATTTTATTTGTTTTTCAGCAATTTCTTTTAATTGCTTGAAATATTCTTGATGATTTAAGTAACCATTTTGATAAGCTTCAGTTAACTGAACCACTGCTGCAACGGAATTTTTAATTACCTAAAATCATAAAAATAATAATGAATGAAGATTAAATCTTGACAACATTTTCAGTATTTCATCAAACAACTGTGGACAGGAAATACATTGAATAATACAAACGTTGGGAGATCGAAATGATCAAAGATAAAAATAGCAGACAAACATGCTATTGTTGAAAACCAGGAAATAGAAATATAAGTGAAAAAGTTGATAAATTTGAACAGACATTATACTAACTATTTTAATAAATAAGTTCAAAGTAATGATTACAGACTTAAAAGTGAACATTCTCAAGCGTCGATTTGCTTTTCAACTGAGACTTAGTGCATTTTATACATCATAGTAAACTTTTTCTATTATAAAAGGAGTTCATGCTTATGGCCTGTTTCTGACGAGATCAAACATTTTTACTGTTGGAGCTATAAGAATGAAACTTTTAGAATAGTGAGAATTAATGTCGTAATATAATTTCAAATGCATCATAATTGTAACTTGTCATACTAATATATCTATTTTTCGTTTTATCGCGACGTCTGAAACGGTCCTATTACTGTAAGGTAAAATGTACAGAGACAATTGTTCTGTTGTGGATAATGAATCTGTTAAATGAGACGTTTTGTAGGTATGGCACAGTTACAATTTTTTTCCTTCTACTGTCAGTACAACACGCTGACGGCACACTTTGTGAACATTAGGATAAAGCGAAAAATAAGTATATCATTGTAACCAGCGACAACTATGATGTATGCAAAATTCTATTACAACATTAATGTTCACTATTCTAAAAGTTTCAATCTGATATTTTGTAATTCTAAGGCGAACCATAACTAATGACACCAAGAACTACGTTTGTATTTTGTAAAGGTAATAACTCCATCTTTCTGAGGTCGTCTGAAATTATATAGTCTGTGATAGCTATTTTTTCCTGATAAGACGACTCTTATGGCTCCAACAGTAAAAACGTTTGATCTCTTTAGGAGTGAAACAAAAGCGTGAATCTTTTTTATGATAGACGTAGTGCACTAGGATGTACAAAATGTACCAAGATCTTACTAAAGTGCAAGTTGATATCTGGGAATGTTCTCATGTCAGTTTGGAACTTATTTTCTTTTTTCATTTCGAAGATAATCGTATCAGCATGGACAACTGCATATCACAAAAAGCATCCTAACAAATAATGCTTTATTCAATGCATTCAAAAAGAAAAAAGTACAGGATGATTCGTTATTATCCAATGGTGGATCAGTTCAATCAGTAAATAATACTCGAACAGTACTTATAGAAACGCGTCTATTAGTCTGTAAAATCGAAATAGTAATAATAGTATGAATATCTTTGCTCTGCATAATTGCCGATCACATCTAATTGCAAAAAAATGCAAACAGAAATATAAAAATATAATATCAATTGATCTAACTATCAATCTATGTTGTTTTATACTCTACAATTTTTCGTCCTTCATATAATAAATATCCTATTTGAAACGCATAGATGGAATTTGTAAACATAAAAATATAAATCTTTATTTATCACGGTATAACAATATCTTAACTTGTCTTTCAACTAGAGTAGAATTTACCTTTTCATGCTCTCCTTCCTTTTCAGCCATAATTGACTTTATAATTCGATTTAATGAATATATTAAATGAGTAGACAATTCAAGTCATAAGTAACCAACAAAAATCACTCGTCTTATATATAGACAATACATACGTACGTCGGCAATGCTCACATTTAATCATTGAGCAGAAAAAAATTCATGAGTGGCCGACTATATAAGAAATATAAGTGTTGATAGATGATGCACCATAACGAACGAATTTCAAACATGATTGAATCACATTTAGGGGTTAATTGGTTACTTTTTCTTTTCTTTTCTTTTCACTGCGTGGGAGAAGAAATGCAAATAAAGAATATTTATATTCATAATAATATTGTATTCGACAGTGTTTTCATGTACACTTGCTTAGTTTAAATAATTTATTTGAATATTCCTTTCGATGTGAATGAAAAAGAGAGAAAGGTGTAGATGATCTTAATGATGACTCATTCTGATCTATCATAGGTTCGTTTGGCAAGAAAAGTTGTTTTCAATAAATGATCTATTATGAGTTTAAAAAGAGATAGTTTTATTTATCTTAGAACGAAAAACTAAACACTACAGTTTAAAATAGATTCAATGATTAGACTTTAACAAAATGTCATTACTTGAATTTGTCGAATTTTTTCACATATCAAATAATATTACATGATAGAAGGATAATGAATAGGAAACCAATAAATAAAAACAAAAAATTGTTTGGTTATGTCGCAAACTGGTAGAGAAAACTCTGATCACAAAGCAGTGTACTATCTTACTCACATATCTTAATAAGAAACAACACGTTGAATAACCATTAAGCCATGTATTGTAGAAAAAAATATTCTGCTAGAAAAAATGTTAGGACCTAAAAGTAATATCAGTGGTTTTTATGTCTCATATGACTTTTTTTTCTATTTTTCAGTGATATCTCGTATATACGTCATGGGCAATCTCTATTCAACGTCTTGTTCGCCAATCTATACGCAAACGAATCGACTAAACGAATACTTCCTATTACAGGAAGTTTTTCAACTAACATACTATTGTTCAAGGGAGGAAAAGCTGATTTTTTTGATTCAGATCAAAAACAAAATCAGAAAAAATCAATGAAAATTATAAAATTTTTAATCTTTGTTCTTCAAAGTATCAATCTAAGGTGAAACAGCTGAAATCTGATTTCAGTTGTTTCCCCCTTGCTATTGTTACTGTTGTTTCGTACTTAACCTATAATTAAAGGATCATTCACAAGAATTTCATAGCATAGAAAGTACAGGTAAATTATTCAAAATAATAATAGAAAATTTTTCATCAAGTTTCTTTGAAAACATAAATCGATTCATCTGATGGAAAGTATTAAATAAATGAATGACTAAACACTACTTCTTCGACAGAAAATCAGCAAAGAACAAGTTTATTTTTAGGTTAAAAAGGGCACAATCGACCAATTTTTCTCTCAATGCATCCAATCTCGAAAAAATCTTTTTAATGAGTTATTTACTTTCAAATATGATTTTAATTATTTTATACGGTATTTTTCGTTTCTATCGTTGACCAAAATACGTTAGAATACTGTTAGCGTGTTTATCTCTCTGTGCACAGATGTTTTGTTTTGTACAAATAATAACAACAATATCAGAGAAGTAGTCAAAGAAATCTTCTATACATTTACCTGGTTTTCCGTTGAAGTCGACTGCATATCAATTGATTGATTAGTTTCAGAATCATTGACAGATTTCGGTGGGTTCGAAGATGAAGTTGCTTCCTGTCAAAAGCAAAAAATTAAACAAATATAAAACATTTTTATCTAATTCATATTACTTCTTCACTTGAAATGTTTCCAAGAGCTTCATCGACTGCTTGTTTTCCACCATGTATTAGTTGCACCAAAAGATTGTATTCTTTTTCATGATACTGTTTTAAATACTGAAATAGAGTCCTGCAGGTCAACCTTGTCCTACCCTACCCTACCCTGCCCTGCAGGGCAGGGTAGGGCAGGGCAGGACTAGGGTACAAAGCTCGTAGGGCAGGGCAGGGTAAGGTTACAAAAACAAAATATTTAGGGTATAAGTAGGGTGTAGCTCATACAAATAAAATTTTTCTAGAGTAGAACTTAATATATATTTTTGACATCTTTTTGATCAAAAACAGTGTAAAGAGTGATATCATAATCTAAATCGAATGGATAGAATAAAAACGAACGGAAAACAATGGCCTATTGTTTAGTACTATTTTATACATGAGCTGACGAGTTCAGTCACTTTTGATTATTTGTCGAGTAAATGTGCATGTAAATGTAATAAAAAATGTGTTCGAAATCATCTCGACATGAACGTATTTTTAGTACAAACGGGCGAGTTTTGGAAGAGAGAAGGCAAAATTTAAGTGGTGATGTTGTGAATGATATTTTATTTTTAAGCAACTTTCGAAAAATTTATTAATTTTGTATTTGATTCTCGTTGAAAATCAATAAATTATATTGAAACAAAGTGAAGAAAAACTTCATGCTGACTTTTACTTGGACCTGAAACTCAAATGATATGATAGGGTGTAAAATGAAAAATCTCTGTGATAGGGTAGGGTAAGGGTACAGAGCCCGTAGGGCAGGGTAGGGCAAGGTTACGAAGCTATAGGGCAGGGTAGGGCTAGGGTAAGAACGTCGTAGGGCAGGGTAGGACAAGGGTACGAAGTTTTACTATAGGGCAGGGTTAGGGTACAAAAAAGTCTTAACCTGCAGGACTCTATACTGAAACCATTTGCGTTTACTTCTACGAGTTTGATACCCACACTCAGTACACACATAGTGGTGATAACCTGTTCAATAGATAATTAAGATTTATGGTGATATAAAGAAAACAAACATGAATATTTTCATAATATTTACAATGTATACTACTGGCCAAGAGTACTCCCGCTCGAATCTTAGTTTCAATGAGATATAAATGCCTAAAAATTCATCTGAAGGTAGTCCATAGAATATATAGGTCAGCGGTAGTATCAATGCTAGAATTGATCTGGCTAGAATGGAGTTGTAATAGTCATTATCCACGATCAATTTAAATCTCATAACTAAAGAATATAAAGATCTTTCCAGTTGACCAATATCTCACTTTATAGCCTTTCATTATAAGTATTTCTGGTATAAATTCTATCGAAGCCTATCAAATTGTTGATAAGCTGAACTGTTTTTATCAAAATCATGAGCACGTAAAGAAAATATTAGAATACTGTTGAGAGGTCAATAATTCAGCGACGGTATGATGGTCCCATGTAAAATATTCAGGAGATGTCCCCCATGAGTGACTATTGCTTCCTGAAAGTTTCAGCAACAGACAGTTTACTAAATCGAAACGGTGTATCAATGACCATTGCAAACTTGTCAAGACTTCGAAGTATCCATTGTCCAAGCAAATGAACTCAACTTTGGAGCGATGAAGAACTATGTATCGGACTACAATTGCATGCTAAGAGATTGATAATAACTCATATATTAGATTAAAAATAGCACATAATTTAGCAAACCTATTTTTTTCTATCTTCCTGTTGAAGTAAGAAAAAACATCTTCGTAGTTTAATATTTCACTGGAAAACTTGATACACTTTATTAAAATTGATACCAGAAATTGTTATAATGCAAGACTATAAAATGAGGGATTGACCGACTGAAAAAGTTTTTCTATTCTTTAGTTATGAGATTTATAATGATCGTGGATAATACCTCTTATAACTTCGTTCTGGCTAGAGCAATTTTGATACTGATATTACCACTGATCTACATTTTCTATGGACTACCTGCAGACGAATTTTTAGGCGTCTATATCTCATCGGGACTAAGGTTCGAGCGAGAATACTTTTGGTCAGTAGTGTATCTGATATCTTTCGAGATCGCTCAGTAACTAAAATCGATCAACAGAAAATGAATTCTAATTTTGAAAGAAATTATCAAAATTTATATTGCTCTTTATTCTTGTCAGATGTTTTGGAAATACACTTGAAAAAATGTTTGGGCATTTTTTTTTGAAACTTAGAAATTTATTTTGAGTGACATTTTATCTATTTTTCTCACTAATATTATTTAATTGACATTTAATGAAAAAAGAAATCAATAAAAATCTTATGATTTTTGGGTGGCTTATAATCACGCAGTAATTTCCAAATTGCAAGTTGAATATTCGCCATAATATGAAATGATCTAAAAAAAAACGGAATTTGTAGTGATGAAAAAGAAACGAAGTATGGAATAAAACTGTCTAAAAAAACGTTACTGTCGCAAGGTTTTGAATATATTAGAACTAATCTGTATAAATAACAACTTTTTTAAATACATATTTTTTTAATTAACCGTATAAGAATATAGTTGTCTTTAAAAAATTAACAAAAAAGGTCGTTAACGTTCAATAAAGCAAATGTCATTTGGTACAAGGGTCAGAACAATCGTAAGCGATCACATACAATATCGTATACGCCAGTTCTATATGAATATAGAATCGTTGATGATTGTGCCTTATATATCTGAATCTCTTTCATATTATCCCACACCGTATATTCTATCTACATCCCCAGGTCAATGATTCCGGAGGACGGATACTGTAGGAACCGGCCGGAAAGATGCGGAAAAATCACCGTATCTGGCCGGAAAGCACGGGAAAGGGCTGGAAACTGGAAGCAGTATTCNCCTGTGTTTTCCGGTCAGTTTTCTGTGTTTTACATCTGGAAGTTGATCGGAATCTACAGGAAGAAAATCCGGTAACTTCCAACTGGAATACTGCTTCCACTTTCCAGCGCTTTCCTGTGCTTTCCGGCTGTTTCCCGCCTTACACCCACGACCTGGGTCTCTGTGCCAAAGCCTGGGTATACAGATAAAGAAATGGATCTATCAAAGTGAATAAGAACTATCGTTGTATACCCTGATTGAAAAATATATGATGAAAATATTTCAACAATATTCTTTTGTCTAAGTCAATTACTAGCAATAATTGAATTATTAATCAATAAAACACAGCTTAAAATATTGATAAGAAAGCAATCCAAACTCAGAAATCGAACCGAACTTAAAATCTAGAACTTGAATATATTTAGGAAAGCTACTAAATATAAGCGGTAAAATGTCAACTATTTACAAACAATTGCGTTATAATAGTTGACAAACAAGCCTCTAGGAAAAGAACATTCAATTGAGTCGGTGTTAAGCATTAAAGTGTGAAAATGAAATCTATTTTCAACATTATTGCTTGAATAGAACTAAACCAAACTTGAACTCGAAAGGTTCAGTTCATTTCGGACTCTGGTAAAAATGATTCATTTTAACAAAATGAAACAATTCCAATCCAGAAAAAATTTAAATCAAAACCATACGTTCAAGATTTTATTTGTTTCACATAAGTTTTGGTCAAACTATTATCATTTTAGTCTTTCAAATGAAATAATTAGAAAAGATTATAAAAAAAGAGATCGGTATAGATAAGAAAAAAAAACCTATAGATTTCATCGTTCTCTTGCTGTATGCTTTCATTTTGATAGATCGTCTTTCGAAGATAGTTGCTGCGCAGAAATATGTCGATTAGCCTTAGCATAATATCGAAGATCATTTAAACCTTGTCATACCGGAATCTTAAGATGTTATCCATTAAATACAAATTCTCGTATTATCAAACGATGTAGAATACGAAAAGCAAGAGTAGCAAATAAACAATACAAGGATATCAATATCAATAAAGTCAGATTATAAAAGCTCGACAATTAACGATTGCCAATAGAATCGAAGTAAATGATGTAAGAACTACAAAAGACTATATAAATTAGTAGAAGAAAGCTTTTATAAATATTAAAAAAAAACAAGAGACCAATTGGAATTTAATTGGAATGGATATAAATTAAGTAATCGACGAATATAATTGGACTTGATGTTAAAAGAAGGAGTGTAGAAATAGCAGTTCTTCAAATATAAAGTCCATGATATGGATCAGATGAAAATTCGTTCGATTTTATAAAAGTCATTTTAAACTGAACACTAGTTAAAAGTTTTTGTTTTATCCTTATCATCAATTTTAATAAATTAGGTCACTACAGATCTTCGCCACATATACATGATAGATAATCTTCAAAATACAAATAATAGAAAAGTTTAGGGCAATACTAATAAAAACATTAACCTGGTTTCATTCCAATTTTTGAAACTGTTGAATGTCGTTATTTTTAATGTATGAAGAAAAATAGGAAAACAACATGAAGTTTGTTCATATTATAATGTTAAATGATAATTATGAACTTGAGGGATAAAACAAAGTAAACAAATATCATTTTAAATAAAATACTAATATTCGACTTGAGATGATTAAACAGTAGTGAATAAATGATTAAATATGGATAGCCAATAAATAACGAATATTTTCTATGTTGCATGGACAATTATATGTTACGTTGAATATGTATATTTGTTTCTTTCGGTCGTTCGTTAAAGAAGGAAAGAATACCCAGGTCGGCACTTTTTTGAAGAAACCGCCGGTTTTCCACGGCTTCGGTAATACCACCGGTAAACCGTGATTTCCCGCCGCTATTGTCTGCGACTTTCGGTTTTAGTTATAAACGATTAAAGAACGTATTTTTCTATCCAAATCCAATTTATTTCCTGGAAAAAATTCAAATTAACCCAGAAAAAAATAGTTCCAAAATCTATTTCGCTAATAAATTTGTTTGCAGCGCCATCTATACCAAAAAATTGATCTCGAGACCGGAATCGGATTTAGACTTTGTGACTGATACACGTGGTAGTAGCGGAGTCAGGTGATGGCTGGGCGCTCAGTCTGTCTCAGTAAAATTTTTGACAGAAGTATTTTATTATGCAGGGGGGTTGCTGAAAGGTATGGAAGAGAGCGCTGAGCCTCTTCCTCCCCAGCAAGAAGTTGTGGCTCCGGCCCTAACAGGCATCTTAGGTGCGCCAACAGTATGACATAATCACGAGATCGACAGAGATGTCATAATATCCTAACACTGGGTATCGTCGACATACCAGTCACGATATCCATTCAAGGGGATATCTAAAATGCATACTAAAATGAATACCCATGTTCCTCATAGCTGAGGGATTTGAGTGCATTTGGTGTAATGGGAATGGGTATCCATTTATATATATATTCAGAGCTGAGGAATTTGAGTGCATTTGGTGTAACGAGATTGGGTACCGGAAATTTTCCTACTGTCAAGTCCTACTTCAAACAAATTAATATAAAAATGGATACCCATTCTCGTTACACCAAATGCACTCAAATTCCTCAGCTCTGAATATAAATAAAAATCAATACAACTTCAAATACAAACAAAT